AGAGCGCAACCCCTCCCCCTTTCTTCCCCACCCTGTCCTTTCTGTACAGCCTATAACCCTCAATATGTACCACCCAGTTGTGGGAAGAATCCCACCAGGTTTCAGATAGCCCTACTAAGTCATAGGTATTTTCTGCAAGCAGGAGTGCTAGTTCATCCTGCTTGTTCTCCATGCTCCTAGCATTAGTATATAGGCACTTGAGCCCTGTGACTGGTGCCTTTGTTGCCCCCCAGCTCCGATTCCCAAAGGGCCTCTTATTGCTTACCTGTGCTGTATTGCTGGCTGCCCCATGGATTGCAGGTTCCCTATGTTCTCTTTCTTCAGGCTGGGCTGTCCTTGTGGACCACCAAACCATGTGGCACCCATGGCTTCCTCTGCCCTCATCTTCCCCTCCCCCCGACGAGCCTAGTTTTAAAGCCCAACCCTGGCCTCTCAAGGTCCCACCCTGTTATCTTTCCTGTCATAAGGGAGACTGTCCTTAGAGGATTTGGGTGGTAGGCTCTTGTCTGGGTTGATGGCCCTTGGCCTGGACCCATTTTACTTTAGCTGGGTCCCTCCACCCAAGCTTACCCCATACCAAAAGCTTAGGCTCCCAGGGCCCAGCTCCAGTCTCAGCCTCAGCTCTGGGCCCTGCAGTCTCCCTGGTCTTGCCCTCATGGGCTGTAGGTCTCTTGGCCCCAGCCTTTGCCATGCGGTACCATAGTTCTGCTACAAACAACAGCCCTCCTCCTAAAGTGTTTGGGCTTCTGCCCCAGGCAGCCCACCAGGTCCCAGACCCTGCAAGTCATGGGGTCAGACATGAAAAAAACATGAAGGGGGCCTGACTTTCTAGCCATCTTGAGTCACTCCCTCTACTGTAGTCAGTGGAGTCAGCCAACCAGTTGGTATAAATTAGCTGTAACTCCTTTAGAGACAGTGGGCCAACTGCTCAACTAATGTCAATCATTTCACTCTGGTGTAGCCAATGGAGTTATGCTAATTAACACCAACTGAGGTCCTTGGGCAGGTGTGTGGCCTTAGCCATGCTGGTTAATGTCCATTTTCACTTCTCTCTGAGGTGATCATACACTAAGACAGCATTGCCTGCCTGCGCATACCTATTTTGCTGATATAATTGAGCTGTTAGTGAATGGCTCTCGTGGGCATCCTACATAATTGGGTCCCTCATGTTCCTGTAGCTGATTAAAATAATGGTGTTGATGCTAGAGAAAGATCAGTGTAAATCTGGCTCTTTTTTTTTTTGTTCTCCAGTTAGCTTGGGACATATATCAGTTTCTCTGTGACTGACCATTAGCTCCAAACAATACAGTTTATACCAGAACCAAAACTTCATTGCTCAAATTCTGTTTTTTTTCTTTCCAGGGATGGGAGATGCAGTTCCCATATGGATATCTCAGTGAAGTACTCCAAACTTCAAGAAAGGAAATAAGGTATTGATATTCACTTATCTATCAGTCCTAAGGACAAGATCATTAATCTTGCCTAAATGAATTTCACAACGAATGACACCAATGCAGGGTAGGACTCATAATTTTTCTTTGCTTCTTAAATTCTGAGTTTTCACTGGTGGTGGAATAGATGCTAGGACAAAGGATTTCTAGTGTAAATGGAATATAACAATTGGATTGCATTGAAGCCCCATTAGAGGTCTTTGATTGGCCTCAGTGGAACCAAGATCAGAAGTCTCTATTTTCCCTTTCTCCTGCACATGAAGGGAGACAAGATACGGATTTTCAAGGTAGTACTTTTCAAGGAACGCTTTTCCAGGGAAGTTAGGTGCCTCCTAGTTGTCCCATAGTTCTGGCTGCATCAGTAAATAGTTTTTAAATGAATCTCAATGACCTATTTTTGTGCAAGTAGAGAGTCTCTCCATGTGTAATTACATGTTTTTTTATGCCTTCTGCATTTTTGATGCTGGTTTTTTTTCGTTTCTCTTGAAAACTCTGAACTTATTCCTTGATATATTGGCAGCCCATTTTCCGATCGGACCCTTTCTGAATGCAGTGTATTGCTACACCATGTAGTCACAACAGTAACACAGGAAGTTCTCACAGTATGTTGAGAAGGGAGAGCTGAAGGAAAGCAGTGTTAGGCTCAGGGTGCCCAGTTGGTGGCACATGGAAATACTGTTGTGCTTGAGCATGCATAGAGGGTAGTAGGTTTGTGCTGTGGCAGAGTCTTGCAACTGGTATGCTAATACCATCTCTGCCAGTGTCTGCCTATGCTAAACGCATCACTTCCATTCTTTAGCTATAGGTTGTTTGCAGTGTGATCTCTTCAGAGCAGAGTCTGTTTCTGATTGTAGGGCACCAGTCCGTAGAGCTTGGTTCATGCGGGGGTCACTTACTGGATGGGAAATCATGTTACCAGTTAAATAAGAGAATGAATGCTACCCCTTGAATCCAGATCACGTATAAGCAGCATTACAGAATTTCAGGTTGAGTAGGACTTACGTAGCTGAATTTTCTTGCTAATAAAAAAGTTTCAGGCCAGCTCCCCAAGTGTCTGTCAAAATACCGATTCTGGGGGAGGAGAGGAGAAAGAGAAGGGGAAGGCAATGCCCTGCCTATTTGGCTTGTCTGTTTCAAAGAGCATCATTTATCCTAACCAGTGTGCTACAGTACTGGTGCTGAGGTTTGTCAGCCAATTACTCCTAAGTAGTCAATGGTCACATTCTCACTCATGACTGGGCTACATCCAGGAAAAGCCCCTTTGTATGGAGTGAAATATTTGGACTGGCAGCCTGTACTTCAGGAGTAGCTGCCGTAATAGTGTGGGCAATTCATATACAAACCAAGAAATATCTGATCTTCTAGTGCAGTGGCTTTCAACCTTTTTAGACTCAAGGCACTTCTTGATGGGCTAGAGGTAGCCCTCGATGAATGCCAGCTCTCAGTTTTCACTTCTTTTTTTGACTAGAGAAGAAGACTACAGCAACAACGTTGTTGCAAAGAGCTCGGAAACACTGCAAGAGGGCAATATGGTTTGAAACAGTATGGATTCCTATTTGAAATTTGCCGGTTTATCTCTAGGTGTGAATCATGTTTGTATACTTCATAGTGCTGACATTACTTGGGACCCCATAGCACCCTTGGAAATATCTCAAGGTAACATGGTAGCCTGGCTGAGAATCGCTGTGCCAGTGCAAGCAACATCGCCCAAGTCATGGGACTCCATGCCCTTGCTTCTGATTGGAGTAATTTAGGAGTAAGCTGTATCGACCAGAAGGGAGCCAATATGGATTCAAGACTTCCATTGAGGGAGAATGTATCCCTCCCTTTGCTTGCAGCTTCTAGTGGTCATTTCCACTCATTCTTAACAAAGCGTGTTTTTACTTTTGATTTGAATTTATCTGGATTTAAATTGCCGCTAGTGGCTTTTGTTACATCTGTGGTTTTCTTTCCTTGTGTCCAGGTATCTTACACTGCACACACAATAAAAGTTTCCTGTTGGATAATTTCTGTCTCTTCATATCAACAGCATAAGCAATCTTATGCAGGTTTCATGAGGCAGAAATAACAGTACTGCTCATATGTATTGCTGAGCCTAGAGATTTTCAATTACTTGGGCATGAGCTATGTTACATGCAGTACATATGAAGTGCAGCAACCTGTGAGCATGGCTTTTGATGCTTGATTGTCTGAAGACTGATCTGGTGTAATGTCTGTGTGTGTATTTGAAGTGCAACTTGTATCTGAGTCTGAAATGAGGAAAAAAAAAAATGAAATAGGTTTCCAACTTCCTCTGCCATTTCAATAGCTAGCTTCTCTATGTCTTGTGACTTCCTAAGATTCAAACATCCTGAATCTCTATCTTCCAGGCAACACCCAGTTTCCAGCATGAAAATTACTGTCTTGCTGCAGGATTTTTTTTCTGAATAGTAGTGGCTTCCTGTGATCATCATCTGCCCTGTCCCACAGCACGACTCTTCAAAGAGCTTTTCTAGACTTCTATGGGGGTAAAAAAACGAACCTGGATTCATTTGTATACTCTTACAAAGGAACAAACTAGATAGTTAAATCTTTGCAACACCTTCCATGGAAGCAGCAAATTGCACACCTGTTACCAACTTCATCCTGGTTGGATTCAGCAAGCACTCGGAGCTGCGGCTCCTCCTCATCTTCCTCTTTTTGCTGATCTACACACTGATTCTGTTGGGGAACATCAGCATGATTGTCCTTATCCGTGCTGACCCCTGCCTGAACTCCCCCATGTACTTCTTCCTCATGAACCTCTCCATCCTGGACCTCTGTTATTCCTCTGTCATTGCCCCAAAAGTGCTGGCCAATTTACTGGTACAGAGCAGAACCATTTCCTACAGTGGGTGTGCTGCCCAGATGTTCTTCTTCTCTGTCTTTGTTGCCACCGAAGGGGTCCTGTTGGCAGTCATGGCATATGATCGCGTCCATGCCATCTGCTACCCACTCCAGTACCAGGTCAGCATGTCAAGAAATGTCTGCATGCAGCTGGTGCTTGGCTCTTATTTCTGTGGTTGTCTCAATTCCTCAATTCACACCAGCTTGGCTTTCAGGTTAGACTTCTGTGGCCCCAATGAGATTTACCACTTCTTCTGTGATCTGCCTGCCCTCCTGAAACTTTCTCAAAGTGACACCAGCCTTAATGAGGTTGTGATGATTATCGTCTCGGCTTCCCTTATAGTCAGCACTATCTTAGTCATCCTCCTCTCCTATGCATATATTGTCTCCACCATCCTGAGGATCCGTTCCAGAGAGGGCAGGTATAAGGCTTTCTCCACCTGTGCCTCCCATATGACGGCTGTTGCATTGTTTTATGCCACTGTTTTCTTCATGTATGCACTGCCCAGTGCAGTATCTTCCCCAGGTGAAAATCAGGTGGTTTCTGTGTTCTACACGCTTGTCATCCCCATGCTGAACCCCATGATCTACAGCCTGAGGAATAAGGATGTGAAAGAGGCACTGAAAAGGAGAAGGGGATGGAAATGTCATTTGTAGGAACCTTCCTTAAGAGTCATTTGCATCTGATGATATCTGCAGAGCGCTGATGTCTTGGAGCATCTTGAATGTTGACAGTATTGGTTGGCAAAATAAAACAGCCAACAGGAAGGGAGGCAGCAGGGTACAGGGGAGGGAGGGGAATGGGAAGGTGAGGCGGGGTTACTGGTGGCCATGCCCCACCTCAGTGAAGGCTATTGTTGTGGAGTAAGAAAGCAGCCCTGGGCCCAGAGCAGGGAGTGTGGGGGCAGCAACTGGAAGCTCTGGGTGCTGTACAGAGGAGCTCCACCTTGCAGTAGAGCACTGTGCAGGGCAGAGACAATGTTTGTACCCCTGCATGCCACCAGTCCCTGCCACCAAAGGCCACCATGGACTGCATTCAGTTTCATGGGCCTGCTGAGACCTGTGGGCTCTAGGTTGATCACTATATTTGAGTGAATCTGATGCACACATACAGTGCAGATGTTAAGCACAGATGGAGATTCAGGATGTTTGAATCTTAGGAAGTCACAAGACATAGAAAAGCTAGCTATTGAAATATCATAGGAAGTTGAAACCCTATTTCTATCAATTTTTTTTTCTCTTTTCAGACTCAGATACAAGTTGCACTTCAAATACACACACAGACATTACATCAGATCACTCAGTCTTCTCCACCACCAAATTTATCATTTGAAGTGGAAATATTTCAACTTCTGCCTGTAGTAAAAAGAATCTGCCAGAGAGCTCTTAGCACATTCTTCTACAAAACCTGTAACCCTAAATATGTTCTTGTTCAGCAAATCTTGTATTTGGTTGTTTTTTAAGGTAAAAAAACCCCCAAGCCAATGGAGACAAAATAGTTCAATTCTCTAATTCTCCCTTTAATTACATCAGTGTTAGACACTGAAATTATTCACATGCCTCAGAGTGTATGTCTACACCACATCCTTGGTGTTCTCCTGGTAAAATGACTTCCCAGTTCCCACTCATATGCACTAAACCCTATATGGCTTGATTTAGGCCCTGGCTGGGATAACACCGTGCATCGGATTGGACCCCCAAGGTAACCAAGGTCAAATTTTCAGTGACATTATATAAATCATGTATGTATTAAGGCCTTTTGTGGTTTAAGAATGAGGTGTGCTGCCATTTTAATCCAGAAAAGGTATGCCCCAGGTCCCATAAATCTGAAAAAACACTGCTATAGGTCCTTCAAAAAGTGGGACTGAAGCTCTATCTTTCTTGTTAGTCCTTTCCTGAGGCAGGAGAAATACACCACTTCCTGTTTGTAAGTCTAACATAGTGGACTACAAACTTGGGTGAACTCTGTACTTGTTACTATCATGCAAATAGAAATCTTCCCTAAGGGTCCATCCATTTAGAGCAGTGTTGAAGGACTAATATTGTACTACAGTTTTAAGTCGGGACAGAATGGATTAAACAAGACTCCAGTTCAAAGGACTTGATTTGTTTGTTCTCTGCCAGGCGGTAATTTTTTTTAGGGAAACAATCCGTAAAATCTTTCTGGCAGCAGAAAGTGACAATATAAGGTATCACAATGTGGTGGTAACAAAAGGTAGTAAGGAGTTGTGCCACTTTTTTAAGGTACATGGGTGACTGCTGCCTCGAGTCGGGTGGGGTGTACGTCAGTGACCGGGTGGGGTGGGTCCCTTGGAGATCGATCTCACTGACCCGGGGGAAGGCGTCCCCCGCGGATGATCTCGCTCACCAAAAAGCAACACGGCTGCTTTTGCTGGTGGTCCTGCCTTCTGGCCGGCGCTCGCAAGTGGGGGCACCGGTGCTCCAGCCTGCCCCCCTGCCTTTCGCTTAAACAGAGAGCGCTGCCTGACAGGGGGTGCACCAGTGCTCTCAAGGGGTGCACGTGCACCTCTGCACACCCCCTACGCAGCGCCACTCTTAAGGTAGATGTCTATTTGCATCATTAGTAGGAGTGCATGGGCAGCAAGAGCATGAAGGGTTATTTTCTGCTTAATGCTACCGTTACTGTAGCATTGTGCAAATGCCCTGGCATTTCCAGTGCAGGATCAGGCCCCCTCTGGGTGCATGCCTGATATTCCCCTCCTGTGGAGATGCACCCCTGGGATCTCCAAGGTGTGCTTCTGGAAACAGGGAAAGTCAGGGTCCCGCCTTGGTCGGGCACACTTGTGGCAATATTTGGAAGCCCTGGAGATTTCCCAGGGCGCCTCTCTGGAAGTGGGCAACGTAACACATCAGTCATTGGCCTGCAAGATCCATGGGCCTGATACTGTGTAATATGTTTTTTTTTCCTCATTAAGTAGATCAGCTGTGCTGGGACATATCAAGCTCGCCTGGTCCCCTTCATTTGGCGCATCTGTTTCTAACCGGAGGGATCTGACAAAAGTGTGTGCTAAGATCCAAAATAGATGTAGGAACATCCCACAGGCTATCGGGCAATGCAAGTATTGTGGATGTTCACCTCTGATGCTTACAACATGTCTCTAAAGAGCCAGTACTCTTCCAGTGATGTTAGCACTTAGTGTTGCCACCACTTACGGCATCTGCAGCCTTGAGATTTGAGGAATGGCTTCTGTGCTACCAAGCAGTTCTTCTGACCTAGGGCAGCTATACACATCCCAGATGTTTGCTCCTCTGTGTGCACTTTAGCAGAGGTCAGAGCAGACTCGATTAATGTGTGCCAATTAGCATGCCTTGGCAGGCTTTATATCACAGTCATTTAGTGTCCCCACACTTCAGAATGGTGGCAGGGTGCTTGTTGAAGAAGGTTTAGTTAAAGCAGCCCTGCTGTCATTTTGCAGCATGGGGATACTGAATACATGTTAATTTTCTATGGGATGTGGGTAGGGGTGGGGTGGTGGAAATGTTTGCCACAAAATCTAAAGCAGTGGTTCCCAAACTCTGACAGATTGTGCACCACCAATGTAAAATGATACGTCCTTAAGTACCACCAGCAAACTTTTCATTAGAACCTTAAGTACCACCTGAAAAATGTTGCCATATAAGGCAAAATATAATTAATCTGTTAATGTGTATAACTGACAAGTTGTCTGTGTACCACTGGTGGTACGTGTACCACAGATTGGGAACCGCTGAACTAAAGCAAAGACTGGATTTTTCAGAGGGAAACCTAGGGTATTAATCACACCAAAACTCATCAAGGGTGTCTGTTTAACTTCTTTGGGATCTTTGAACCCAAAAACATTACTGGAAAAAAAATCTTTTTTCATAACACGATGGATAAGATCTTTCTGGAAGTAAGATCCAGGATACATATACTGGGTGTCTGCATCTGTGGTAAAGAAATCATCTATTCCTGAAAATGGGGTATAAAACTTCTTGTGTGAGAGAGCATGTAACAAAAATGTAGTGACACACAGTGGGCGTGTCTAGAGCTGCAATTCATGCACCTGAATGTTAGGTCCGTAAAATTCAGGCACATTAAACTGCCCTGGGCACATGTCTTCATAGGGACCTATACACGTGCAGTGAGGCTGCTCTGATGCGTTGTAATTACAGTGCATCAGAGCAGACTTGATTCATCAAGTCTGCTGGAGCGTGGTAATTGCTTTGCTCCAGCAGACTCCAGCATCATGTGTATCAGCGTCCCCACACTGCAAAATGGCGATTGTGGGTACTCTAACCAAAGCACATTCGATGAGCTTTGGTTAAAGCTTCTTCACTGCCATTTTTCAGTGCAGAGATGCTGATACATGTGGCGCCCCGGGTGCTTTAATTAGAGCAGCTTGGAACTACTCTAATTAAAGCGCACCCCGACCCACTCTGGGAGCACGTCTATAAACGCCCTATCTGTGCCCAGGTTGGCAGCTAATTAGGTCCGACAGGAGCAGCCTAATCTAGGGCTTTATATGGCTATATGTATATGGCTTTATTTTTCTAATAATGTTTTTGGAGGGATAGAAAAGAAATCCCAATGCTGTGTGAAGTCATTCTATTAACTATTTATCACCTGTTTTAGTTGGAGGATACCGCCTGGATGCTGATTTGGGAACTATTGTATGAAATGCAGGTAGTGTGTCTGTAGAAAACACTTGGAACCATATCCTCTTCTATCTATCAGATGCCTTAGTGTTCACGCTACTCTAGTCTTTGAATCTCTTTAAACTCTCTCCTTTGCCCCAGGTTGAGGTGACAAGCCTGGCTTCTGATTTAGGTGAAAACATGTATTTCAACCCTTTTTAGATTAAATCCCTAGGCTACAGGCTTCCTATCTGGTTCCTAAGTGTGGCTCTGCTGGGTGTGATAGCTGCTAGCATCCACTTTCAGGAATCTGTGATAACCGTAGCAGGAGCTTGCACTGATGTACAGAAATAAAGGGTGAGATTCTTATTCCACTGATTGTGCAGATACGGCTCCATCCTGTTCAAGTCATTGGAAGACCATTACAGGCTTAATGTATTGTAACACACATTTCTCTTACCCTACAGACAAAAATTTCAAAAAGGAGCAGAGAGGACCACCCTTGCCTACAGCATTATTTTTCATGGGCTTAAACTGGGTGGAATAGGATTGCATTTAGATACCTGTAAGAGTGAAATAGGATTTGGGCCAAAGTCTGAAATGAAGCATTTTTTATTCATTCTTGAAAAGGTCCAAAGCATGAAAGTCAAACATACAAAGGTTAAGTTGCAGGAAGGCGAGTTGAGGTTGGATATCAGAACGAATAGGAAAATAGAGGAACAGTGGAACAGGCTAGCCAGAGAGGTTGTAGGATCTCCACGCTTACACACTTTTCAGACCTGGGTAGAAAAAGCCTTGGCCGGGATGAGACAGTTGGCGATGGTCCTGCTTTGAGCAGGAGGTTGGAAGAGATGACCTCCTGAGGTGCCTTCTAACCCTCTTTTTCTGTAATTCCATGATTTAGGAAAATGGGCTAACAGAGTAGAAGGCATAGATACACACTCACTGCCATGCGCGTACACACATACAAGTACACACAAGCATGGAAAGGGACATGTAAATCACAGTAGAAGGCATAGATACACACTCACTGCCATGCGCGTACACACATACAAGTACACACAAGCATGGAAAGGGACATGTAAATCACAGTAGAAGGCATAGATACACACTCACTGCCATGCGCGTACACACATACAAGTACACACAAGCATGGAAAGGGACATGTAAATCAACATTTTCTTGGGGTGATTTCATAATATTGCAAATGTTTCTCAATACTCAAGGAAGTTTGGGTCCAGTATGTGGGGTGAGATGCACTTTGAAAGTAAACAAAAGGATTAAAAATGTGAAAAAGATTATAAATAGGTGGGGTGTCTTCCTGTAAAAAAAAAAAAAAAAAAAAAAAAATCATTCTTGTAATGTCACAGCATAATGTTAGGAGAGTCTTAAAAACTCAGATAGAAACACGAATAATAGACAAAGAGATGGTTATGAATGAAAATGATGTAGAGAGAGACAGATGGGCTGATGCATGGAAACACTTATTTGTTATTTCTCTGCTGTTTGCTCGGAAATGTAGATTAGCTGCATATTTAGAAAAAAAGTCTTATCTTAAAATCATTTTTCTACCTATCATTCTCCTCAAAGCATCTTTCACATCCTTGTTCCTGAGGCTGTAGATGAAGGGATTCAACATTGGGATGACAAGGGTATAAAACACAGACACCACCTTGCTCAGATGTGGGGAAGATAGAAAACCTGGCTGAGCATACATAAAGGAAACAGTTGCAAAAAATAAAGCGACAGCCACCATGTGGAAGGAGCAGGTGGATAAGGTCCTGAGCCTGCCCTTGGCAGAGTGAATCCTGAGAATGGCATAGATGATGTAGCTGTAGGAGATTAGAATGATTCCCAAGGTACTCGCTATGATGAAGCCACATATAACAAACAGCACCAGTTCATTGATGTGCATATCAGGGGTGCAGGTCAAAGTTAGCAAGGGGGGAACATCACAGAAGAAATGGTTGATTTCTTTAGGCCCACAGTAGCTCAGTGCGAAGGTGAAGCTGGTTTGCACAAAAGAATTGGTGCCACCACAGATATAGGAGACCACGATGAGCTGAATGCAGACCCTTTTGGACATGGTGACAGAATAGAGGAGTGGGTTGCAGATGGCTACGTATCGATCATATGCCATCGCTGTGAGGATGAAGGCTGTGCTGCCAAAGAGAGCAAAAAAGAACAACTGAGCAGCACATCCATTGTAGGAAATCGTTTTGCTGCCTTGTAGGAAGGTGGACATGGCTTTGGGGGCAATGGTTGAGGAATAGCAGAGGTCTAGGAGAGACAGGTTCATGAGGAAGAAATACATGGGGGTGTGAAGACAAGGGTCGATTCGAATGATGAGAACCATAATAGTGTTTCCTAGCACGGTGGCTATGTAAAACACAAGGAACACCACAAAGGGCAGCTCCTGAGTCGCAGGACCACTCCTGAATCCCAGCAGGATGAATTCTGTTACCATGGTGCGGTTCTTCTCCCCCATAGACTCCATAGCTCATCTCTGCTGTCATCTCTGCTGCGGGGGGTAAATAGTGTAAGGATGAAGGAGATAGCAAAGTGGCTAGATGGATTGCAGAATGCTTAAATTCCCTTTGGGTTTATTGTGACAGAGCCCTTCAAAAGTTACTTAAACCTTGACTTAATAAATCTCCAGCAAATCTACTGAAATTTGGAGTTTTCTACAATGAAGCTATTACTACTTATAATTTCTCCTTATAATAACAATTGGGAAAAGTGCCCTTGGGTGAATACTAGCAAAATTTTCTAGTGCCTCATGTCATTAATTGATCTCCTTTTGAAATTGTGTTTTTTCACCTTGCTATGTTTAGTGGAAAGTGGCTGCCAGTCAGTACATGGATGCAGCAGGGGGGTGCAATGTGACGATTATCATATTCCAAACCCAACAACTTTTCATTGAACTAGAGCATATATCTGCCTATAGATGCCAGGATGAACAAACACTCAACAAATACTTAAAAGGATGAGTTCAGAATTCTACCATATGGCATCTTACCAACCGTGGCACATGTACCATAGCTGAAGAGCAGCAATACCTGTATCCTTCAATTATGTCCATGAAATATCAGCTCATTAGGTATGAAATCAGTGGAGGTTGGAATGAAGGTGATTGTGAAAATCACCCTGGGGTGCCTGTCTGTACTTTAAGGCACTTCATTGCTCTGAAAAATGTGCCCCAAACTCCTTTGGTGTTTCTCAACATGCCAACCTCATGTAAGCAGAAGGGAAAGGACTGGGTACTTGATAAAGACTGGCCCATTCAGTTCACCTTCCTACCTTCCTTTCGTATATTTACCAGGCTTGCACAATAGGCTGAGACACTTTGTTTTTTGGAATCTCAGCAATTGTTTTAAGAGAACATTGGATTTATAATTAAATAAATATTTTCACATACATTGCCAGCTGTCCAAAAGTATGGAATTAGTTACATACATAAATAAATGCATAAAACCCAAAGAGAAAAAAAAAAAAAAGAAAACTTCATTAAGAACATGGTACTTAGGAGAACCACTAGTTTTCTTTACAATATTAGAATGTGTTTAGCTTTTCAATAAAAAGTAAGCATTTTCAGTTTGAAAAATAGGACCAACTGCATTGCCAAAATATGAAAATACAAAAAGTAGCCAGGTTGAGTCAGCATATGCCTATCGCCCAATAGTCTTTTTGTATGCAATGAAGAAATTGAATGAAGAATCTTCTGCATTTTGTTAGCTTTTCCTCATCTACAACACTATCATAATGCACAGAAAAGCTTCCCAGTGCCTTCACTATCCTAGCCAAAAGGTACCTGAAAGAAAGACTCAGCTTCTTTTAACTCAGTCTCTTTTGGAGCTTTCTGGGCCCACCTCAGATGTGCTTGTATCCACAGGTTGGCATGTTTCATTGCCACCTAATTCTAGGAATTTGCCTTCACTTTGCTACATGACCTGGGATCTTTACTGCCCTAGAAATCTTTTCTGCCAAGCTCAAGAGCTGGGACTGTCCTAGCAGTTATATTGAAGGGAATTGTTTTGAATCTTGGCAAAGGGCAGATGCTTTGAAAGAGGAGGAGACTGGTGCTTCTCTTCCTAGCAAAGGGCCTTGAGGTCTCTGGAGGAAAGGTGCTATGAGATCACTCAGGACTGCATTGAGCTTCTCCCTGGTGACAGAGATGTGTTTCCAGTCCCAGCCTTGTGGACCTGTCCTGCAGAGAACTGGAGAGGCACTAGATAGATGTCCCTGGATGAATACAATGAAAATATTATCTCATTCAAATCAACAGGAGTCAGATGGGCTTTAGCTCCATGTATGGGGAAAAGGGAGGAATTCCTATGGCTTAGGGTGGCCCTTAGTTGGGCTAGGATTTGTAGTAAGTTTCTTTGAACTTTAGAAAATCATTTGAAATCCTGGGTGAAAATAATGACTGGTAGTCAAACCTGAAAGGAAGATTAGAGAGGGACAGTATTGGCCAAAGTTGAGGAGCAGTTAATTCAGGCACTGGACAATAGCGTTTGTAAGGAATAAGCTAAACAGCTTGCCATCCTTAACAAAGGTGACATAATCAACAGTTATGGCTTTGCCAACACCTGACACAGACTGAGAAGATGAAGTGTTGCCCATGTCTAATGGGTGAGCAGACAAAGCTAGGCATCCAGGCAGATGAGCTTTAGCCCCATATATGGGAAAGAGGAGGAGATCTCACAACCTTGGCTGGCCCTGAATTGGGCTAGGAGTTGTAGAAAGTTTATCTGAACTTTAGAAATTCATTTGAAAGCCTGATTGAGGGTAATGACTTGTAGTCTGAACCTGAAAGGAAGGTGAGAGAGAGAGAGAACGAGCACTGGCAAAGTTTTAGGAGCAGCTAGTTGAGGCACTGGAGTCTGAAGTGCCATGGACGAGAGATTGTAAGGAATAAGCTAAACAGTTCAACTCTCCATGGAGCAGGATTGTAGAGTCAACATTTCATTAGTAATGTTCAGGCTGAAATGCACCAAGTAACAGTATGAAGTGTGGCCAGAGTAGAGGCCTGTAATAAGGTAGTGGCACCTCCTTGTTCGTTTAAGAAGGTAACAGCTTGGAAGGCCTCTTGCAGGTGGCCAAAGGGGTTGATGGAGGACTCAGCTGACCAGCAGCAGGCCAGGCTGGAGCCATATGAGCACTGAGCCTGAGCTGGTCAAACTACCTTGTCCTGAGGAGAGGAAACCTTAGCAGCACAACAGCTGGGCTCGTGAAGTGATTGTGGGACTAAGCAAGCAATGCTGCAGCCTGGAGAGCAAGAGAAAGGTACTGGGATAGAGAGAGGCTCATTTCTACAGCCCGGTGGACTTGATTTTATATGAGACCCAGGTAGTGTTTGGGGCCTGCCAGAGGGCCTTTCTGTATTATGAAGTTGTACTGGTGGCTTAGCCTTGATCCTTGCCTGGACAGGGTCAAATTCCCATGGGCAGCCTGCCTATCTCAAGTTTCAATAAGAACAAGGCTTGGTGGGTGAGCAATAGAGAGGGCGATATTAGAGTTAGAGCCAGGCAGGAGTTGCACGTGAGCCTGCTACAAGGCCTCTCCAGGGGAAAAAGTGAAAGCGCTGACCCACAAAGTATAGGATCTGGGACAAAATATCTCATGGGTATTAGTAAGTCCACAAGGCCAAAGCTGTTTTCTGCCAAAGAGGATTTGAAAATGAGAAAGGGGCCAGGAAGGTTAAACCCCCCAAGCTGAGCCCATGTGGGGAACCCAGTTAGGTTTGTGTTTCCTGCCAGCTTGTGAATTTTGTACTTGGGTCCTTTGGGAAGGTAGAAAACAAGAGATCTATCCAGTTGTTCCTCTATTGCATGGGGGCTTGTCTGGTCTGGATTAGAGCCTGAGAAAATACAAATGGCTTCCTACATGACCGTTTGCCAGCCTGTTCAGTTTGTGCTGGATGCATCAGCAGGTGTGTGCACTACTCAGAAATTATCATGTGTCACAAGAGTATTTTATGTAGGGAAGGATTGAATGTGTTTTCATTTGTTCAATCAACAAGGTGGTGAATATTTAACAGTGACAGAAAGCAAAGAGACTGAGAGAGTACAAGCTAGTACCTGGTGCAGTAGTGCACCCACTGAAAGCCTCACAGTTGATGGGCAGGTCCACAAGCTTTCAGTCTTAGGAGTCATGGCTATTTCCATCAATTCGTCTACTAACTTAGAGCAAATCAAGTTAAGCATCAGTCAAGATAGTTCAAATTTCCTTTAAGTTTACCACTAGATGAAGGTTAATTGCATGCTGTGTAAATAAACAGAACAATGTTGGGTTGATTGTTAATCATTTTAATGAAGAGGTCAAGGGAATTTATGATGAAATTACAAATCAATGTTGGATGAAGGTGTTGGGAGCCTGTGTTTGGATGGTCACCTTTTGCCCCTGACATGTTTAATTTGAAGTTGTACTCATATCATTCTAAATTTTACAATACACACATTGTGTTGTACCCTCTGTTTGCAATGTGGTGTTGGATAGAAAGTGTATATAACTGGTTTGAATGGGAAATGAAGAAGTGCAGCTACATCCATTGTGTCTGCTGTAGACCAGTTGGGGCAAGACTAGATCTGCTCTCTGCTCTGCCATCAAGAACTTTCTAGGGTGGGGCAATGGGTTACCTCTCCAGGTACTGATGGAGGTTAGGGAAGAAAAAATGGCTTTTTTTTTTTTTTTGCATTTCCATAGCTGATTAGGGGTCAGCAGCTTCCCTGAACTTTCTCAGTCCTGATCCTCTTGACTGGAACCCCTTAAGGTCAAGTACTGACCTCCTACATCTCAGTGATGCCAGCATCTTCTAGATAGCAGAGTGCATGTTTCAAACAGACAATAATAGAGCTGTGGCCTGAACCATGCTGAAGAGGTTAGCAACGCACTAAAGCTGGAGGCTGTCAAGCATTTTGAAATGGCAGATGACAATTTCTCCCTAGTTCGCAATTGTATGGGGCACCCTCCTGCTGCTGGTTTGCCTCTCCATTAATGGAGCCAGCTCAACACAGATCTCAAGGATCTGTCCATCTCCTAATTGTGCTGTCACATTATCATCATTTCAGGTTCTCAGAATAATCTGTTCCCACCAGATAACGCTTGCCTCCTGGGCGCCGAAATTACAGTACATGGTCTGGAGATAATCTCTGAAAAGGCCCTTCTCCATGGTATGTCTCATTTCTTCCTCTTTGGACACGATGCTCTTAGGCTTGCAGAGCACGTAACGCAGGTCAAGTGGGGCCTATCAAATGCCAGGCTCAAGAAATCTTGAGTGACCATGCCATGGCACAGCACTTGGCATGAGTGGGACTTACGTAGCTGAATTCTGCTGCTAATCAAATGTTTTAGGCCAGCTCCCTGCGTTTGTCAGAATACCCATCCAGGGGCAGCAGAGGAGAGGGAGAAGGGGAATGCATATGCTCTAGCCATTTGTTTTATCTAGTTGGGAATCCTGGTTTATGTAGGTTTATCTCTAGGTGAGAATCATTTGCAGACCTAATAGTGTTAATATTATAGGTGCCATTGAACAAATCCCAGGGTAACCCAGGTGCCACGCCACCCTGGCTGAGAATCACTGTCCCTGTGTAAGCAACATAGAACATATCCTCCATCTCCTTGTTTCTATTGATAATCCTAGCCATGGTGCTATCCATGGCCAGGTCTGGATTCAGGGTCCTGGGGTGCCAAATAGCCTCGGTCAACCTCCCAGCCCTAAGGCTGAGCCACCTCTCCTTGGAGTGCTTTCCCCGCACACTGGAGTATATACAGTCTAACTATTTACGCAGATTATTATTTACAGCCCAGTCAACATATGAATGAGGTTAATAGCAGAACAGGATATCAATAATCTTGTTGTGAAAGGCAAGTATCAATGAATTAAAACACCCTATATAAATTGAATCAAAGACACCCTCAGTACATCTCCCCAGCTTAAACCTTGAGACTCCAGTGATTTTCAGGAGGAGCACACAGGGTTAACAAGACATCAGCTGTCCTTCACACTGGCAGCGCAATACCCATGGCTGGTGCTGCTGCTTTGGGAAGTCCTGCCCTCTGCCAGAGCCTCGTGGGGAAGAGCAGCTGTCCTGTCTGTGGTAGCTGCAAAGAAACACACACTTCCCCTCTCCTCCAAAGCACCTTTCTCCAATTCCCAGACACGGGCCCTTGTACTGATAACTGAAACAACCCTGGGCTATCACCTGCCCGGCCCCAGGCTGTTCTCAGTGAGCTCTCCCCAGAGCCTGCCCAGACCAACACCCTGCCCTCCTAGGCAAGTGTATGGTACCACCCTTTTCCCTCCACATGGGTCCCTCTGCCTCAGAGGGAAAAAGGATACCAGGTTGTCTTCTCTCCATCACTAAAGGCAGGTTCACTTCTCAGGCAGGCTGCAGGGCGGTTTCTCCCCAAGCTCGGTGGTCCCAGGCTCCTTCCCTTCTCTGAGCCTGGCTGGGCTCCCTCCCCTCTCCTGCCTCACAAAGGAGCCAGTCACAAAGCATGCATAAGCTCTTGCAAGCAACAACTTTCTACAAACTTTCCTGCTCTGCCTTTGCAGGGACCCTGAGCCCTGCTGCAAATCCAGCAGCAGCTGTTACATATTAAAGTAATTTTTGAGTAAGCTATATCTACCAGAAGGGTGCTCATTATAGATTTAAGTCTTCCATAGAGGGAGAAGTTATCCCTTCATATGCTAGATGCTTCTAATGATTATGTCCCCTCATTTTTAACAATGTGTGTCTTATTTTTAATTGGAATTGATTTGCAGTTAATTTACTGCTAGTGGCTTTTGTTACATCTGTGGCTTTCTTTCCTTGTATCAGGGTTCTTGTATTGTATCAGTCAGATTTTTCCTGATGGATGATTTCTTTGCCTTCATAACAACAGTATAAATAGTTTTATGCAGGCTCTGCAAGGCAGGAAGAACAGTACTGTTCATAGATATTACCATGTCTAGAGATGTTAAAGTATTTGGGCATGAGCTATGTTACATGCAGGATGTATGAAGTGCAGCAGCCCTGTGAGCACTACTATCCATTACTTATTACTTTTAAGACAGATATGGTGTAGTGTGTGTGCATGTGTATTTTATGTGCAACTTGTGTCTGAGTCTAAATCTGGGAAAAAATGAAATAGTGGGCTCTAACTTCTAATGCATTTCAATAGCTAGCTTTTCTATCTCTTGTGACTCGCTGAGAATCAAAGATCCTGAATCTCTGTCTTCCATGGGGACAGCCAGTTTTAGGGGTGATGCATAGGGGGTGCAAGCAGGTGCACGTGCACCCCCTGAGTGTGGTGGTGCACCCCCTACAAAAAGGCGTAGGGAGGGTCCCAGTGCTTCCACCATGCTCCATGCCCAAAGTTTACAGGAAGCCACAGCCCAGCTCCTCTCCGGGCGGGTGCATGGCATTAAAAAGTTACTGCATGGCAAGACTTCTTATTGTGCATGGCCACACATGTGCGCAGCTTAGAGAGAACCTTGGTCAGGACCCTTGACCTGCACGGGCCCCTGTTGGCTCCCCTCCTGTGAGATCCCTCCCCAGCGGGAAACCCCTTTTCCCCACAACTCATGACTTCTGGTGTTGCAGGGCTGTCTCTGGCTCCAGCCAGGGTGGCTCTGAGCTGCATGGGCTCTCTTGCCCCATGTGACGGCCGACTCGTGGCTCAGTGCACCGCAGCTCTTGTCCTTCTGCCCGGATAGGTTGGAGGCCTAGACCTCCTTGTGTGGTGCCGGAGTTAAATCAGGTCTTGATAGGCAGAGCTGGTTGGAAATTGGTGAACGCGTCTACTCGGAGCACTAGTTTTCCATCAAAATTGGTTTCAGTGGAAGGATTTAGCCAGTGTGATTACAGGATAAAACAGTCTCCAACTGCCACTACAGCTACTTGAAGAAACTTGAGACAGCTCCAGTCTTGGCTCATAGTTGTGTTTTTCTCCCATGACAAGAGCTGCAGTTGTCTAGAGCAGGGGTGGGCAAAATGCGGCCCAGGGGCCGGATGCACCCTGCCAGGCCATTCCATCTGGCCTGCGGGGCCCCTAAAAAACGTATAAAATTAATATTTATCCGTCCCTGGCTGCCTGTCATGTGGCCCTCAGTGGCTTGCCAGAACTCACTAAGCGGCCCTCTGCCCAAAATAATAGCCCACCCCTGGTCTAGAGGGACAGAGGGTAATTGCTGTTGCAGTTTTTGTGCCCAAATGGGCACTATTGTCTTTCTACAGGTTTTGGTATCAATGTGTGGTTTGTAATTTTATTTCTTGCTCTGGCAAAAATAAATTCATCCAAATGTGTACCTGCTGGTATTAAATCAGAGGGGGAGAGCAGTCCTAGGTGCTGACTCGGAGGTGGAAAAAGATCAGCTGCCTCTGCAGGTACACAACCATGCCAAAGGCACCTACAGCCAGAAGTCCTTGCTGTCTCCATGTGTCATAGCTGCCTTGGGTGCCCAGCTGCCTTGTTTGGCTCTGGGCTCGGGTTTCCTCCAATTACTAATTCTGGAACAAAGGACAATTCTTGTTTGCCAGCAACATTTAGTTTCCATTGAGAACTGAACAACTACCTCCCATGGTTAAAACCTGAAAATACCAAGAGTTAAAATGCTTTTTTTTGACCTAACATAGTCATTGAAATCAATGGTGAACCTGTAATTGACTGCAAGAGTGAATGTTTTTCCTATCCTTTTTTAAGCCCTTTATGAAATAGTAGGGTGTTTAGCTGTGGAGTCTGCCACTAAGAGGACACAGCAAAACATGCACACAAGCAGGGAAGGGGAAATACAATTGGATTCTAGAATCTAGATCAGCATTGTTGTGTGATGATTTCAGTTGTGAAATTTGTGCTTAGAAAACAAATGCTCCTTAAAGCTCAAGGACATTTGGATCCACAGTTTAGGGTGAGACGCATTTAATAAAGAAAAAAGCCCCAGAAGGATTAAAAAACTTAAAATATGTCGGGCTGGTTTACTATAATAAAACACTCATTCTTGTAATAACACAACATATTGTTAGGAGGGGCCTAAAAACTTAGGTCGATATGAATATAGAGTGAGAGTTGGATGCTAATGAAAATTACGCAGAGAGATGTACAGATGCATGCAAATATTTATTAATTACTTCTCACTTGATAGCTCCATATTGGCAGAAGAGGCTTATTTCGAAGTCATTTTCCTACCTATGATTCTCCTCAAAGCATCTTTCACATCCTTGTTCCTGAGGCTGTAGATGAAGGGATTCAACATGGGGATGACAAGGGTATAAAACACAGACACCACCTTGCTCAGATGTGGGGAAGACAGAGAACCCGGCTGGGCATACATAAAGGAAACCGTCCCAAAAAATAAAGTGACAGCCACCATGTGGGAGGAGCAGGTGGATAAGGTCTTGAGCCTGCCCTTGGCTGAGTGAATCCTGAGAATAGCATGGATGATGTAGGCGTAGGAGATGAGGATGATTCCTGAGGTGATCACTATGATGAGGCCAGATGCAAGAAACATTACCAGTTCATTGATGTAAATATCGGTACATGATAGATTTAGCAAGGGGGGAAAGTCACAGAAGAAATGGTTGATCTCTTTAGGCCCACAGTAGCTCAGTGCAAAGGTGAAGCTGGTTTGCACTAGAGAATCGGTGCCACCACAGATATAGGAGACCACGATGAGCTGAATACAGACCCTTTTGGACATGGTGACAGGATAGAGGAGTGGGTTGCAGATGGCTATGTATCGATCATATGCCATTGCTGCCAGGATGAAGGCTTCTGTGGTTATAAAGAGAGCAAAAAAGAACAACTGTGCAGCACATCCATTGTAGGAAATGGTTTTGCTGCCTTGTAGGAAGGTGGCCATGGCTTTGGGGGCAATGGTTGAGGAGTAGCAGAGGTCTAGGAGTGACAGGTTCATGAGGAAGAAATACATGGGGGTTTGAAGATGAGGGTCGATTCGAATGATGAGAACCATGATAATGTTTCCTAGCACAGTGGCCGTGTAAATTAGAAGGAACACCACAAAGGGCAGCACCTGAATCCCAGGTCCACTCCCGAATCCCAGCAGGATGAATTCTGTCACAGCTGTGTGGTTCTTCTCTCCTATAAACTCCATAGCTCATCTCTCCCTTGGGGGTTAAAAAACAGGTTAAAGATGGAGGACTAAGCTTAATGTCCCTTTGTGTATGTCTGGCAGAAGCCTTCAGAAGTTACTTAAACCTCGACTTAATATGTCTACAGGATGTCTATTGAAATTCTGAGTTTTCTACTATGAAGCTATATCTCCATATCACTTCTCCATATAATAACAATTGTGCCTTTGGCAGAATATTAGCAAAATCTTCTAATTTCTCTTGTCATTCTCAGGTCTCCTTTTGGAATGATGTTGCTCAGCCTTGTTATTCTGGGTTGAATGGGACTCCCAGTCTATACATGCATATATTGTAAACTGAGAGTGTATAACACGGGGATTTTTGTGCTCCCAACAATAACTTTTCACTGAACTAGACTAGATTTCTCTCTATGGATGCAAAGACGAACATATACTGAATCCTATCATTACCGTATCCTATAATTATTACTGTATACTTTACCTGTTTTCTATACTTACATTAGTGGAATCTGACCGCTGTCGAAATGAAATCTGTGGAGGTTGGAACCAAGACAATTTTGAACATATCCCGGGGTGCCTGCCTGTATCTTTAGGTACCTATGTGGTTAAAAAATGTGCTCCAAACTCCTTTGGTGCCTCTGAAAACACCAACCTCGTGTAAGCAGAAGGGAAAGGACTGGGTTCTTGATAAAGACTTGCCCATTCAGCTCTCCTTCCCGCCTTCCTTTCATACATTGCACAATATGTCTAGATATTTTGTTTTTGGGAGTTCCAGCAATTATTTTAACAGAATATAGAGTTTATAATGAAATAAACATTTTCACATACATTGCTGACTTTCCAAAACTCTGGAAATAGATACATATGCCAATCAATGCATAAAACAGCTAAGAAAAAACACACTTAATGAAGTACATGGTACTTAGGAAAAACACTAGTTTTCTTTTGAATAGTATAAGGTGTTGGGCTGAGAAAATTTAGCTTCTGAATAAAAAGTAAGAATTTTCATTTAAAAAATAGAACTGGCTTTATTGCTAGAATATAAAAATAGCCAGCTTAAGTCAGCATACAGCTACCCACAAAAAGTCTCTCTGTATGGAAAAGAGAAGTTGAATGCAAAATCTTCTGTATTTTTGTCACCTTTTTTCATCCACAACCCTATCAATAAGACATTGAAAAGCTACCTAATCCCTTCACTTTTCTAGCGACTTGTACTTGAAAAGTAGAAGTAGAATGAAAAGTCTTCTGTCTGGTTTTACTTCTTTCTCATGCACAGCACTCTCCATAACATACTGAAAAGGCTCCCAACACCTTCACATCCCTATCGTAAAAGAAAGACCTACCCCAGCATCATTCAACTCAGTCTCTTTCGGAGCCTTCTGCAACAGCCTCCTGTGCTGTTGTATGGAAAGGTTGGCACCTTTCACTGCCCCCTGATCCAAGGATTTGGGTAGGAAATTTGCTTTAATGTTGCTAACTGACCTGAGATCTTTATTGCCCTTGAGTGCTTTTCTGTCAAGATCAAGTGCTGGGACTGTTCTAGCAGTTATATTGAAGGGACTAGCATTGAATCTGGCCAAACTGCAGAAGCTGTGCAAAAGGAGGAGGCTGGTGCTTCCCTTCCTAGCAAAGGGCGTTGAGGCCTCCGGAGGAAAGGTGCTATGAGAATTCATGACTGCAGTGAGGCTCTCCCTAGTGACAGAGATGTATTTTCAGTCCCAGCCCTGTGGATTTGTTCTGGAGAGACCTAGAGAGGTGCTAGATAGAAGCCCTTGAATGAATGCAATGAAAAATTATCTCATTCACATGAACAGCAGTCAGACCAAGCTGGCATTAAGGCCTGCCTGGGGATATTATTCCCTGTTCTCTGCTCTTGCTCTGTCTTCTTATGCACCTGTGTTTCAGGCCCTGCCTGACCCTGAGGCCATGAGCGTTTTGGGACGTGGGCTGGAGACGGATGTGGGGCAAACAGTGTATGTGCAGGGTAGAACAGCATTGTACTGCAGTGGGCTCTGGGCCATTCTTCATCGTGTCCTGGAAGTAGATGAACCAGATCCATTTACAGCCATGTTCCTTGTTTGGGCTTTTTTCTTCACCTCTTGTTTTATTCCCTTTTGTTAGTCACATTTTCAAGACCTGAACCCTCAGAGCCTGGTATATGAGCAGATGGTCCTGTTACTGTGCAGGTCCTGAGGCAGCCCACAGATCTTGTCCACTTTTCAGAAGAGCAGGTGCTTCTCACCCCAAGACTCAGAGCAGAGCCTGTGTGTCCCCAGGGCCTCTGTTCCCCAGGAAGATGCTTCTGGAGGGGAGAAGGCAGCTGCCAGCAGAGAAGGGACTAAAGAAAAGAGAGAGATCCTGGAGGGGCAAAGCCAGGTGGGGCGTGGAGTCACAGATTTGCGGGCAGCAGAGCAAAGGAAAGAGTGAGGCACTGACTAATGGGCATTTCAGGAATAGTAAGGAAAGGAAACCAGAGGCTGATTCCTGACTCTCTCCTCAGTACTCCCTTGCCAGTACCCTCAGCACCCTCCCTGCCTACTTGTCCCCACTTGCCCAGGTTGGCAAAATTTCCTGTTGCAGCTGTGGCAACACCCAAGACAGACTGGTAAGATGAAGTGTTGTCCATGTCTAATTGCTGAGCAGACACAGCTGGACATCCAGGCAAATGGGCTTTAGCTCCATATACTGGAAAGGGGAGAGAATCCAACAGCCTAGGCTGGTCAGGAGTCAGTCTAGCAGGAGTAGTAATTTTCTATGAACTTTAGAAAATCATTTGAAAGCATGGGTGAAAATAATGACTGGTACGCATAACCTGAAAGCAAGTTCAGAGAGACATAGCACTGGCCAAGGTTTAGGAGTAGATAGTACAAGCACTGGAGTTTTAAGCGCATGGATGTAGAGATTGTAAGGGAGAAGCTGAGTAGTACAGCAGTCCATGCTGCTCAAGGAGTGTAAATTTAGCACATAGTTAATAATGTTCAGCCTGAAAGGCATGAAGTATGAATTGTGGCCAGACTAGCAGTCCCTCTAGGGAAAAAACCATGAAAACACTGACCCATGAATTATGATCCAGGCCAAAATGCCTCTTGGCTATTAGTATGTTCCTAAGACCAATGTGATTTGTGTGTTGATCCCTGAGAAAACATGTGAAAATAGGAAAGTGGACAAGAGGGGTAAACCCTAGAAACAAGCCCATGGTATATAACCCAGCTAGGTCCGAGTTATTTCACAGCTTGTAAAATTATACTTGGGTCCCTTGGGAAGTCAAGAAACAAAGATTAATCCAGTTGTTCTTATTGGTTAGGTGTTTGGCTGGTCAGACTTAAAGCCTGAGAAAGGGCACAAATGGCTTCTTAAGCAAATGCTGCATGAACCAATTCATTATGTGCCAGCTGAGTGCATGGCACCATTTGTCAACCTGCTCAGCTTGTGCTGGATGCATCAGCAGGTGTGCTCTAATCAGAAGTTATCATGTGTCAGAATGAGTATTTTATGTTGGGAAAGGTTGAATGTGTTTTCTTTTGTTCAGTGAAAAAGATGCTGTGTATGCAACTGTGACGGAAAGCAAAGAGATTGGGAGAGTAAGAGCCAGTACCTGGTGCAGTAGTCAACCATCCAAGGCTTCCCAATTGATGGGCAAATCCACAATGTTTCAGTCATAGGAATAATGACCATTTCCACCAATTGGACTATTAACTTAGAGCAAATGTAGTTAGGCATGTGTGAAGATAAAGTTGCATGATAAGTGGACACAATATGTAGGTTATTCCCATGCTATGTTAAAGAATAAAATCATGTTAAGTTGACTGTAAAAATGTATATGAAGCAGTAAAAGAAATGTATGACTAAATTGAAAAACAATGCTGAATTAAGGTGGTAGGAGCCTGTGTTTGGATGGCCACGTGTTGTCCCTGACATGTTGACTATGATGTTCATAGAGTCATAGAATATTATAGTTGGAAAGGACATTGGGAGGTCATGTAGTCCATCCTTCGGCTCAAAGCAGCACCCCACCCACTTTATCATTTTCATAGATTCATAGATGTCAGGGTCGGAAGGGACCTCAATAGATCATCGAGTCCG